TGAGCCAGCAATCCTCCTGCCTCAGCCTCCTGAGTTGCTAGGATTATAGGTGTGCACTATTACACTCAACTCATCCACAGGGCCTTTTTAAAGCTAGGGTCTTGCTAAGTTGCCCAGGATGGCCTGGAACTTGTGATCCTCCTGCCCCTGCCTCAGCCTCTTCAGTAGCTGGGATTATAGGCACTACCACTGCTCCCAAATTAATGTTTGGAAAAAATATATGTGGTGCTGAGGATGGAACTCATGGCCTCACACGTGCTACTACTTAACTACAACCCCAGCCCTAGAGAAGAGTTTTAAGATAACAAGTCTCTCTGCTCCTGGGAATGAAGACGAAGTAGTTAAGTCTTGCTGCTTTTCAGTGAATGCTCTTGCTTTGCTAAATTTCTTGGAAGAATTGTCAAGTGGAAACAGCAACTGAGTTTGCCCCATACTAAGCTGGTGGGCACTCAGTCTTTAGGATGTCACATTCAGCTTCATTCTCCCTCAAGGCCAGTGAGGCCAAGATTGAACAACTCCCTGTCAGCTGGCTTTGCTGTGTATCATCAGGGTAACTGGGAGGGAAAGCTGTAGCAATCTCATCCACTGCTTAGCCACACATGTACACTGGGAAGCTTTTGTTTGGATGCAAGCTTTCCAACGCAGGCAGATTCTCCCATTCTGTTTAACTTTTTTAGGTACTGAAGATTTAACCCAAAGGTGCTTTATCACTGTGCTACATCCTCAGCCCTTTTTGTATTTTATTTTGAGACAGGGTCTCCCTAGGTTGCTTTGCGCCTTGCTAAATTGCTGAGGCTGACCTTGAACTTGCAATCTTCCTGTCTTGGCTTCTGTAGCCACTGGGATTAAAAGTGTGTGCCACCACACCTGGCTCTCCCATTTTACAGATCTGAAAGGTTAGGTATTTTGTTTAGGATCAAACAGAAGTATCTAAGACTGAAACCCAATCTTCTCTCTTGATGTCAGAATTCATTCATTTTTTAAATTAAACATGTTTTGATCCCAACTCCAAAAAAACCAAAGGCCAAATGTACTGATATGCGGATGCTAACACACAATAAGGGATGAGGGAGGGAAGAATAACAGTTCTGTGGATAAGGGGGAATGAAGAGAAGGGAGGGGGGATGGGAACAGGAAAGACAGTAGAATGAATTGGTTATAACTTTCCTATGTTCTTATATGAATACAGGACCAGTGTAACTTCACATCATGTATAACCACAAGAATGGGAAGATATACTTCCTGTATATATAATATGTCAAAATACACTATATTGTCATGTGTATCTAAAAAGAACAAATAAAAAAATAAAAAACGAAACAAAAAAAGTTTTGGTCATGAATTTTTTGAAATATTTTTTTATTTGTGGATGAACACAATACTTTCTGAACTTCAGCCCTAGCATTGGTCATGAATACTTCTGACATACAAAAAGTTACAGAGAAAAACCTGTCAAAATGAAATGCATTTTGCAATCCATACATAGTCCAAGAAATGCAACACGAAGCCCCATGTACCCTACCCTGTCCTATTAATCATGGAGGAAGGTCCAATTCCTCCCACTTGGGATACACTGCAAAGAGGCATCATAAGTATCCCTTCCACAGTGCAAGCCAGAAATCTATAGATATAGTGACAACTCTTTCTTTCAATCACCAAGTTAATTACTTTTGGTACTCCTTTGTTTCCATCATTCCTGCTACAGTTTTCCTTTTCAGAAGTACCAACTCTTATCTGGATTATATTGATGACCTCCTAACCTGGTTCCCTGCATCTGCTTATCTCATTCCATCTAATCCCACACTGCAACCACTATCCTTCTTAAAACACTTCAATAGCTCCTCTTTGCTCTTAGGATACAGAAAAAACTGCTTGCATGGTATGCAAGGTTTCTCTACTCAATATTCTAGTTCCCTCAGTCCTTTGTTATCTTGTGTTTTGAGGATATTGGTATTGCTGTTCCTTGTAACCCCAATTCCTTCCCACCACAGAGCCTCTGTACATTTTTTTTAGTTGCTGATGGACCTTTATTTCATTTATTTATTTATATGTGGTGCTGAGAATTGAACGCAGTGCCTCACACATGCTAGGCAAGTGCTCCACCACTGAGCCACAACCCTAGCCCAATTCTTCCCTTCTTTGGGTATGCTTGCCTTGAGTCCCAACTAGTTATTCCTTGGCCGTGTCATTTTCACTTCACATTTGAGAGGTTAAATGATTAAAATCTATCTTCCCTAACAGGATAAAGACCCAAAAGTACTAACTTAGCATTAAATTTGCTAAACAGATAATAGCCAATGCATATATAATATTTTTAGGGCACTGTTCCTATACAACATGTACTAACTCACTTAGGATCTCCCAAAAGCTTTATGAGGAAAGTACAATTATTACCCTCATTTTACATTAAAAGCTAAGAGTCTGTAAAGCTAGGAAATGAACACAGGAAGCCAGTTTCTGGAGTCTGAGCACAACACTCATGCTATGGGTGCCTCAGCAACACCTGCTGAATGCAGTAGCATGGGAGTACTTTTGACTAACAGCACCATTAGCAACCTTAGACTAAAACATTTTGTTTTAGTGCTGGGGATGGAATCCAGGGGCATGCTAGGCAAATGCTCTACCACAGAGCTACAACCCCAAGCCCAGGGTCTAATGGTTGACCAGAACTTTACTGCTAAACTTTTATTTTCCCAGGATTTTATTTCAGTTACTTTAAAAATCCATTTGAGTGGGGCATGGTGGTGCACACCCACAATCCCAGTGACTCGAGAGCCTGAGGCAGGAGGACTGTGAGTTCAAAGCCAGCTTCAAGAAAGCGAGGCATTAAGCAACTCAGTGAAACCCTGTCTCCAAATAATACAAAATAGGGCTGGTGATGTGGCTTAATGGGTGAGTGCCCTGAGTTCAATCTTGATACCCCAATAAATAAATAATCCATTTTGAGGCCGGGGATGTAGCACTTGCCTAGCATGCACAAGGTCTGGGTTCAATCTGCAGCACTGCTAAAATTAATGAATAAACTAGCAAATGAATGAATTTGCCCTCACCTACCAGTGTCATGACTGGTTTTGAGGTAGAGTAAGTGGTCTGGCAAACTGCTGAAGGGCAGGAAAAACTTGACTAAGAAGCAAAGGTGTATGTAGATCATCTGTAGTGTGGGTAATCCATGGAAGGACAATTCAAAATTTTCATGGATGACACCCAAATCTTCATCAATTTCTTGCAAAGTTACACACACAGGGCTTCTCCCACCATTTGTAGACAGTGTTCAAGGCTGGGGTGAGGGAACGGGTGAGGGAACGGTGAAGCCACAGGAAATAACTAGTCACAATATGGTGTGAGGAATGACCTCTCTATGCTTCTAACCTCAGAACTGCAAAGAAATTGCTAGCAGAGAAAGATCACTTCTTCTTTCAAAAATCAAAGATAAATGGCCAAGCTTTCCTAATTTTTTTTAAGTCAGCAAAGACTGACTTGAAAGTTTTCCCAGTGTGGCAATGTAGAGCAATAATTTCAAAGCTCAAGCTATATAGTGAAGAGCTCTATAAATCAGCTACATCCAATTCACCTTGAATCAACAAAGTGAAATGTAACTTTTCTTCTTTTTTGCTGTGCTGGGGATGGAATCCAGCGCCTTGTGCATGTTAGGCAGGTCCTCTACCACTAAGCTACATCCCCAGCCTTTTTTGAGACAAAGTCTACATTTCCAGGTTGGCCTAAAACTTGTAATCTTTCTGCCTCTGCCCCAGTCGCTGGTATTAAATGCAAACTCCCGATCAATTCAGGAAATGCTTAACCTGGAGCCCACCTACCAATGTCAGGGGAAGTCAAGAAACCGCACTTTTTTTTTTTTAAACAGGAATTTTGCTAAGAAAAGATCTTCATGAGTTCCTAAGATTAAAAAAGACCAAAAACCACGATCCTTTATGACTGTAAACACATTCATTCTGGATCAAGGTTATGCCTTCGTAGGGGCACCTCTGAAGGGCAGAAACATTTCTATTCTGTCAAGTACTGCTAACTACGGACGGAAATCTAAGCCCATCGCTAAGTGAGATTATAAAAGCATAGGTCTCAAAACCTACAAATAGGTCTAAGGGGCCTCCTTGGAGGGAAAGCGTCGTGAAAGGCCAAGGAGTAGTTAGGGACGATGGAGTCCAGTCCAGACCAAGTTACTATTACTAACCCACGGTGCGACCTTATACAAGTTCCATACCCTCTCTGGACTTCAATTTCCACGTCCGCGCTTTGGAAGTTGAACCACATGGTCTTCAAAATCCTTTCCAGCCAAGAGTTTAATAACAAGTAGATCTAGCTTTTTAAAGCAGCTTCATGTGGACGCAGTACGGAACTTTAACGGTCCCCCCCTCCCCTGCTCAGGCCCGCGAAACCCTTGCTCATCACGCCCCTCGGAGTGACTGCACTTTCCGGACCGCAGTCCGAGCGGTCCGCGGTCAGCTCCACCCCTTCCTGGAGGCGTCCCATCGTGCTCCGCGCTCCTAAAACGGCGGGGCGCCTCCCGCCTTTCCGCGCCCGGACCCCAAACTCCTCTCCCCAGTTCTCCCGGGCACCCCGTCCTATCAACGTCTGGTATCCCAGCCAATCACAAGAACCCCGAGACTCGCCTTCAGCCCACCCTTCTGCCCGCGCTCAGCCTGTCTGAGCTTAAGGCCTTGACCAAGTCAATCCAATCAGTAGCAGGTTCTCAGCTGCCCCACCCCGACTTCCCTCCCCTCGGCCAATCCGCGTGCCCCATCCCGCTGCCCGCCCAGCCAACCCGGACCCTAAAACCTGCTGACGAATGGGCGCAGGGCGGCCCTTCAACGAAGAACGCCTGGCCAATTGGGGATTCCGCGTGGCCACAGTGGCAGCCAATCGACGTGGAGCGCGGTGCCGCCGCGGAGAGGTTCAGCCCAATATCCCTCCGCCTTCCTCCCTCCCTCCCTCTCTCTCTCCCTCCCCGAGAGCCGCCGCTCACTTACTGCCTCCCTTCCTTCTTTCTCCCTCCGCCACCCGAGCACCAGCCGCGCTCTGAGCTGCCCCCGGGGTCCCTCCCCCGCCGCCAGAGGAGCAGCTGCCGCCGCCGCCAGCAGCACATTAGGAGGGCGGAAGGAAGAAAAGAGGGGAGGAAGGAGAGCTAGAGCGCCTGCCCAGAGGGAGCCGGTGAATGGGCTTGTGGTGACCCCCACCCCCCACCCCACCCTCCCTTCCCACCCGACCCCCAACCCCCATCCCCAGTTGGAGCCGCCGCCCGAGAGCCCGGACCGTCGTCTTAGGAGGAGTCGCCGCCGCCACCACCGCTATGGAGCTGATCACCATCCTCGAGAAGACCGTATCTCCGGGTAGGACGCGGGGACTGGGGGTCGGGCTGAGGTGATTGGGGTGGGGGAGGGGAGCACGGCCCCTCTGACCCTGCTCCGGTTCCCACTTTCCTCCCACCAGATCGGCTGGAGCTGGAAGCGGCGCAGAAGTTCCTGGAGCGTGCGGCTGTAGAAAACCTGGTGCGTCCCGTCCCGCCGCGCCCCATCCCGCC